GCATATCATTTATTTCTGCTGGACATGTATGTAAAAGTAGAATCTGTTTAAGAATGGGATTGCTGGGTCAGAGTATCCTTATAAATTCTGTAGAACTATTTAACTTTGAAATCACATACATACACTATATAATAATTTTTTAAATAATAAAAAACATAAATTGCTAGTAATGTTTAGGGCCACCATTTATGTATAGTATGACACTAGGAATAGGAGAAGGTTTGTTTGTTTGTTTGTTTGTTTGTTTATTTGTTTGTTTTTGTCATAGAGCAATTCAGAGCTTGAGGTGACAACATGAGACAGCACAGTGCCGTGAATAGACCAAGAGTAGGTTTTGGGTTCTGACTCTCAGAACACTGGTTTTTATATTTGTACATTGGAGATGCTACCATCAAAAAAAATCTTTAAATAAAGAATATGAACAATATAAGTCATGCAAGACCTCGTCATCCTCGGAAAAGCAGTGTACCACAAAGGTTCAAAGGTGCCCTGGTGTGTCTTAGAGTAAGTTTCTTAAGCTGTCTGAGTCTCTGTTTTCCATTTGTAAAATGAGAATAATTTCATCATATGATAATATTATGAGGATTAAAGAAAATAATAATTATCAAGGTATTTAGCATATGAATAACATTCAGAAGTTCTCAATACTTGCTAGATTCCATTTCATGTCTCTTTCTAAGCCCTTTGTTTCCCTGTCTGTTGATTGTAAACAATTTGAACTGCCTTTAATAGATCAGAAAGTTTTATTAGAAGATAATCTATCTAGAACTGATTTTTAAAAGTCCCAAAACACTGATGTGTTACCAACACGAGGCATTCTTATAATACATTGACGTCTTTATTCAGTCATGTGAGATTTAGAAAGCACTAATTCTTGCTCCAATGTGTGAATATAAAGATTAATCAGATACATTCCCTCCCTATCATGTAATCCACAACCTGTTAGAGGAGGGACGGTTTGGACTCGAATATCTAAGAAGATGAGGCATTACTACGTATAATTCATGCCACAAAAGTGGTATAAAGAAATGCTATTCAAACATGAGAAAGGAAGCCATCATTTCCGGATGAAGTAATCAGAAAAGAGAGAATTTATGAGGGCATCAGTATCTGCTGTGATCTTTGAAAGATGCATAGAGCTTTGTTAGGTAGAGATAGCCACTGAGGCATTCCAAAAGAAAAGAAGTGTTCAGAAGGAAAAAAATAAATAACAGGCAATGCATGCTAGTGGACTGGCCAATGTAGACTCATACCTGATATGCTAAGGAATTTGCAAGTTTTTCTTGGTAGATAATGGAGAGCCATTGGGGAAATTTATGGAGTAGAATGCCATGTTCAAGTTGTTTTAGGGAGAAATCTGGCAAGTAGAATACAAAAGAGCCTGGAATACTAGAGAGAGGAATACTAAGTGTGAAGCTATTTCGATGTTCAGATGTGAGATCGTAATGAATAGAATAAAAATATGACTCTTGGGAATGAGAAGGTAGGCAGGCATTCAAATGATATTGCGGAAGAAAAATCAACAGGGTATGGGAACTTATTGGATGAGGTAGGTATATATTAGACAAAAAGGCCCACAAAGATAATGAAGCACAATGATTTTTAAGAAGAAAGCTATAGAAGATTGGCACAGAAAGAACCTAGTTACAAGAGAAAGTGGCTGGAGGAGAAAAGAATAGAGGCAGCTAAGTGTACAAAGTCTCTCTATGTAGTAAAAGGGATGAAAGAAAAAGGACAAAAGTTTCACAAAATATTACAGCTGGGAGCAAAATGATTAGAGTGCAGAACTCTGAAGCCAGGCCTTCTGAGTCCAAATTCTGGCTCTGCCATTTACTCACTGTGTGAATTCTAGCTAGGTACTTAAACTCTCCAAACCTCAGTTCACTTATCAGTAATAATAATAGTGTCTACCCCATGAGTTGAACAGTTGTCATTCATTATAAATTCCACGTAAGTTTTTGCACTCATTATAGTAAAACTGAGAGATCTATTGGAATATAGAGGAGATATGATATATAGTAAGTAGGAAAGAACCATTCATTCATTCATTTGACTAAATTGTATGGACTGTGTGCTTACCCTGTGCTGGCTGTGTTCTGGGTATTGAGGATACAAAGTGATCAAAACAGGCAGAATCTCTGCCTTCATACAGATTACATTAAAATATGGGAAACAAATAGTAAACACAAAAATGCAAGTAAGATGGTCATACACAATAAAGAAAAATGAAGCCAGATAAAGAGGGTAGACAGTGACCAAAGATGCTATGCTAGGCAACGGTCAGGGAAGACTTATTTGTGGTGGTGATGGCTGAACACAGGCCTGAATGATATGAGAGAATAGGCACGTAAATATCTATGAAAAGAGATTCTGGACAAAGAGAACAGTAAGCGAAAAGTCCCTGAGTTGGAATGCGCGTTATTATCCAGAAAACAGAGCAGAGGGCTATGTGACTGAAATGGATTACCAAGAAGAGTAGCAGGAGATGATGTGGGGGATACGGTTAGAGGCTGGATAACAGGGCCGCTTGAAGGACATGGGAAAATCACTGGATTTTGTTCTCTCTGTGATGGAAAGTCAAGAGGAGTGACATGATCTGATTCATATATTGAAAGGCTGATGTGTAGACAGCTTACTTTAGGGTCAAGAGTTAAAGAAAGAGTAGTTACACACTTGTGGCTATCATCTGTAACCTGTAAGAGATGGTGGTGTCTTGGATATGGGCCGATCAGTGAAGATGGGAAGATTTGGACAGGTTTTGGAAGCAAGAAGTATAGCATTTGGTAAAAGATTAAATTTTGGGTGAGAGAAAATCAGCATCAAGAAGCATGAAACTAAAGTGTTTAACAAGAGTAAATGAATCAACAGTGGTGCCATGTATAAAATGGAGAAAAATAGTAGGGGGATCAAGTTTGGAGTTGCGGGGAGGGGATTATGGGAGAGCAAGCTTTCCATTATGAATATAGATGGCTTGCCTATGAGACAGCCATTTGGAGAAGTTGAGTCAGCGTTTGATATGGAAGTTGATGTGTGTTCTGGGAAGACTTTAAGCTACAGATTAAGTTTGGGATTAATGAGCATTCAGATGGCATTAAGGACATTGGTACTAGATGATCATCTAAGAAGTGAAGTTACCAAAATAAAAAAATAAAAGAAAAAAGAAGTTAATGTAGATAAAAACGAGAAGCTTGAAGATTGAGGCCTGGGACACTCTCTGACTCTTGGAGATTGGGAGGAAGAGGAGGTATGAGTTCAGGATACTGGGAACAAGCAGCTGGTGGGATAGAAAGAAAACCAGGAGCATTTAGTATAGTACAAGTCAAGTGAAGAACGTGTTTCAGGAAAAAGAGTGAGAAGCTATGTCAAATTTTGCTGAGCACCTGAGAACTGACCATTTGATTTGATAATGTGGAGATTACTGATCACCATGGCAACCTAACCATGGCTTCAGTGAAGAAGGACTGGGAAGCTGTATTTAAACCAATAAGGAAGGCTGAAAGAGGAAAAAGTAAGTATACACAACTTTTAAAGGAGTTTTTTCAGAAAAGCAGAGGAATGAGGCTTCAGTTGGAGGGAAAAGTGGTATCAAGTGAAGGTGTTGTAAAACAGGAGTTGTGAGAGAATGATTGCATTCTTATTGGAGTTATCAGTGGGACAGAAAGCTGATGCTATGGAAACAGGAAGGGATAACTACTTAAGAGTCCCTAAACATATATGAAGGGATGTTCACAAGGGAAAGAGCTGGCCTTCAATAGCACAAACAGATCAACCAGATTTTATGGAAATGTAAGGATGCCATTATCTGAATGCTTCTCTCTTCTTGGTGATATAAGAAGCAAGATTATTAGCTGAGAGTGGGGAAAAGAGAGAGGTATTGGGAGTCTGAAAAGTAAGAATAGGTATAAGACATTCACCTTACAAAGTGAGAAAATGAATGACAAGACAAACTGGCATTTCAAAATAGATGACAGTTCACCATGGCTTTGTGGTCATAAATTCCCAGTAGGCAGGTTATATGTTTTTCTCCAGACAAAGCAGTTAAGGTACAAGTAAGAGTTGGTAGAGGAGCTAATTTAACCAGGGTCGAGTGTTTTCAGGTGATACGGTGGGGAAGAAAGACCAAGGCAAATGAGGGTGTTTGCAAGGGAGTGAAAATGATCAATGATGATGGATCAGGAGCTGAGGTTGGATGGATGTGAGGACATGAGGCAATGAGTAATACTGGGAAGATGGCAGAGTTAATGGATTGGAGGTTGTAGTGGGATTGAAGAATTGTTGGCAAGGGAGCAATCAAATAAGTGAGGAGGAAAGTAATAAGTGCTAGGAAAAGGGATGATAGAAACGGACATTTTTTGTAGGGGGTGCAATTATTGGTTTAGTGCATGACATGGAATTGATGAGCTGAGGTGGGAAAGAGCCAATATCTTTTCAGGTAACATAAAGGGGCTAACAGCTGAGGGCACTGGATGGATGGTTTGCATGGCATTGTAATTACCAAGATTGATCACAGAGGTAATTGGAAAAGAAGTGATCCTCAGACACTAATATCTTCAGTGAATATGGGATTATGACAGAAAACTTCAACAAGAAGTGGGTACTAAGCGAGTATCTGTCAATAATTATTTTAAAGGTGCCAGATTATTTAAGTCTGAAAATTGGACCTACTAAAAAAGTAAAAAAAAGCTATGAAGGTGATCATTAGTATAAGATCAATAACACTGACAGAAATTTCAGCTCTTTTTACACCAATTCATATTTTTTACAATTTCTTAGATATCTAGCTATTTGCCAGATCATTTCATGGTATACAACAAATACAATAATAACAAAGTGAAAATTCTGACTTCTGTTTACAAATAATATGGTTTTAGTCATTCATCATTTTGTCCCTTTGCCCAGAAAGTTCAGGGAAAACTTTAATTAGTTTCTGATAATTGATACAGAAGTGATACAAAGAGGAAGCCCTTCATGTCTCCACCGTGGTACGAATCTTGACTCACCAGGATTGTTGGACTGGGCGTCCATAGGCATCATGAGTTTGGCCCGGGTGGCTCGGCGTGCAGCCAGTGACCGCTCCAAAGTGGACATGGAACTCCCTGCTTCTTCTGTGTCTTGACCTAAAAGAGAAACCAACCTCCTGAGAGGAGCACCCTCTTCAGTGATGTAACACTGAATCATTTCTAGCCAGGTACTCCAATGCCTTTCTTCACTTTACTGATGTTTTAAATAATAATATCTACTTTCTTGTTACCTAATCAATATACATTTACTGTGAAAATAGAAATAAAATTTACCCTAACCTCTTTACCCAGAAAATAACATCATTTATATTTCGTTATGTAAAATTTTTGCACATGCGTGTGAAAGTGAGAAGGTATATATTAATATATTTATCAAAAGTGGCATCATACCATACATATTTTGTAAGCCTTCTTAAGAAAATAACATGAAAATCTTTCTCTGTCAATAAATCACTCAGTAATACAATTTTTCATAGCCCAATAACATTCAATTGTATGAATTTACCACAATTTATGCAATGAGTACTTAAGGTCCAAAGACATTAAATCTTATTGTAAAAATACAGAAAATAAACTACATTCTTCAAAAGTAAAGTTAGGCAGGGCCTGCCGAGTGGCTCAGTTGGTGAAGAGAGTAAGCTCCGAGCAACAGGGTCACAGGATCGATTCCCACATGGACCAGTGAACTGTGCCTGGGCCGAGCTGCCGACAGCACGTGTTCTTAGCAGCAAGGTTGCTGGTTCGACTCCTGCATGGGATGGTGGGCTGTGCATCCCCTCTTCCCCCCCCCCACAACTAAGATTGAACACGGCACCTTGAGCTGAGCATGCCAACGGGTGGCCAGATGGCTCAGTGTGCAACAAGGTTGCCAGTTTGACTCTCACATGGGATGGTGAATTATGCCCCCACCCCCCCCTCCCGCAACTCGACTGAAAGTGGTGACTAGACTTGGAGCTGAGCGTGCGCCCTCCACAACTAAGATTGAATAACAACAACCTGAGTTGGAGCTGATAGGTCCTGGAAAACCATACTATTCCCTTTCTCCAATACCCTAACACTGTTCCCCTCCCCAATTCCCCAATTAAAATCAGAATCTTAAAAAAAAAAAAAAGTAAAGTTAGGCATATTTATATAAATATATTATGATTCACTAAAATGCCATACTATAGAGTCATTACAATAATAAGAAAGAATGATATACGCAGATTTGAAAAGTTAATAAGAATATATGTGGAGAGAAACAAAACTGAAGCTCTGAATGGTGTGTGTCATTAAATATACTACTCTATGCTCAAGAGTTTGAGCTCTGAGCAACAGTGGTTCGAGTCCCGGCCCGAGCTGAGCAGCTGCTGAGCTGCCAACAGGTGGCAGGATGGCTCAGCTAAANAACAGTGGTTCGAGTCCCGGCCCGAGCTGAGCAGCTGCTGAGCTGCCAACAGGTGGCAGGATGGCTCAGCTAAAAAAAAAAAGGTATACTACTCTAGGGCCGGCCGAGTGGCACGTTGGTTGAGGGCTGGCTTGGGATGCCAGAGGGCCCCGGTTCGGATCCCACATGTAAGGGCCGGTGACACTGCCCTCTACAGCTAAGATGCTGAATGGCGGCTCGACCTGGAGCTGGGCTGCTGTGGGTCGCTGGCAACAGTGTAGGCTGCAGTCCCCTGCTGCAGTGGGTTGCCATGGTCTACCGTGTGTAGCCAGCAGCCAGCGTGAGCGGCCAGCAGCCACCATGAGCAGCCGTCCAGAAGTCGGCGACTGATGTGCCTTGCCCGGGAAGAGCGCAATGATGGTGCCAACTTGGGCCAGTGAAGCATCGTCCTCCACAACTAGACTGAAGAACAAAAGGACAGCATCTTGTCTGTTCCCCTTCCCCGATTCCCCATTGCTGTTTCCATCCCCCAATTCCCCAATTAAAATCTTTCAAAAAAAAGTATACTACTCTACTACTCACTGACACGGAGCTTTGTTTCTTTAATCGGGACAGCACAGAGAACACTTAATGGAAAGTATAACTAGCAGGAGTTTGAGTGCTTCTTTCCTTGTTATTATAGAGTTGGCAAGTAGGTCCTCAAATTAAAAATAAGTATTCTCTCATGCTAAAGAAAACAGCCATCAGTTGGAGTTAAACTTCTCCCAGGACTTATTGAGAGACAGTCTATCGAGTCTGGCTGGCCACAAACATCATCTGAGTATACAAAAGATGAAGGGAAAGGTCAAGAAGAAGGAGCCTAAAAACCACTGGCGAACCCTTCTGAGGGCTAGGAGACAACTGTATCCCCCAGCAGTGGAAGCGGAGAGGTGTTCTCCCCTTCTGATGTCCAGTAAGAAACAAAGATAGAAGAATAAATACCTGGAAAGTGTTCAGGTTCCTGCAAAAGAGATCAGCCTTTTTCATTCATCCTCCAAGTAGAAGCCTTCTTCTGCTTGGCTTGCTGGCCTACCCTGTGCCTATTTAACCAGAGGAAGAGGTTTCTGACCAGAGCAATGCTTGAGAGCAAACCAGTGTGGCTTATGAGTGCTCTCATTATTTGGACTGGCAAAGATGTAGGTGTGTCCTCCGGATCAAGTCGGCCCTTGGAAAGTTGGTGAGGCTTGAATCCTCTTGCTGGAATTCATCCAAATGGAGGTGACCCCAGAGAGCACCAGTGAGGGTCAAAGGTAGAGCTGATCCCGGTAGGAGAGGGTTAAGCTCTGACTTGACATCCCAATTCATGGAATTGGCCAGTGGAGGGATCCCACAGGGTCTCATACAGAATTCATACTAGTGTTTCATGAGACCTGGGATTTGGATGCCACATAAGGATAGTCCAAGTGCCCAGAAAAGTAGTGAAGAACTTCAAACTGCCCTTTCTTTCCTCCTTCCTCACCTTTCTCCTGTCTCCTCGTCACCTCCCCTCTGCATCCCTCCATATGCCAGGAAGAGCAGACAGGAGGAATAAGTAAAGGTGTTTCTGAAACAGACTGCACTCTGTTCTTCTGTCTCACCCGCACCACTCCACTTCACTCCAAGGTGTAAAAGGATTTAAAGAACAAATTGTGACCCCAGTCCTGAGAGCCAAAAGTCTAGCTGGTCCACAGGGGAAAAAGAATCCTTCGTTTAAACTTTGGATTGTAGTTTTTAATAGAACTGAACTGTAGTTTTCTAACTGAACGTGACAGAAGAGTTAGAGACTCCGCTTGAGATATTACTTAAGGTGTAGAAAAGGAATACTCAGAAAGTCATGATTAAAACTCAGTAACTGAAGTCTCAGTAAGCTGAGGAAGTCTCGTTAACCAGTTACACAAATTTTAATCTAGTTTAAAAAGAACAGCTACTCATTCTACAAACACATCATGAGTAGACCAAGAGGTTTCTTTTGGTGAGAATACTTGGTTAACTATTCAATGTTCCATAAGTATTTTGAAAATATGAGGACCCACAGAAAGTGAAATATTTTACCATCACTTTCTAGATTTCTTAGTTATTCCAGGACATAGATTGTTCTGTACCAAATTACTAAACAGTAGGCTTTTTTTTCCCCTTTAAAGCACTTTGTACACCAACAGAGCCTTCAGTTAGACTCCCTGAAACTATGCTAGTCATCATATAATGTGATTGCATGGGATGACAGTTGATCCCCGTGGTAATCAAGGCAAAGTAACAGAACAGTCAATGTTGTCAGACTTTAAGTGTCCCTGATGTGATTTTTTTAAAGCAAGAAATTGACAGCAAATTTAAAATCAACTTTCAATTATCCATAGACATGGAGAACTAAATAAAATGTACAAAATGCCTTCAAATTTGATTGCCTTGACAAAACTTTTGTTCAAAATTTAACAAAAAGCAAAAAATTCATTTAGGCGTCCCATTTCAGTATTTCCCAATGGTATCACGTCTTACCTCTTAGAAGTTCCAAGAAGCAATGCAATTATAAATGGCAGGCCACAGGGTGATGGGACTGAAGGTTAATCAACCACATTTACCTCAGATTATTTTTAACTATCGGTAACCTACAAATGAGAGGGAAGGATATCTCCATCAAAGGGAGTGGAGGACACCACTGTAGGGTCCAGAATGGGCTGATTTCCCTACTGGCCGAGAGGAGCGCGTTACCTGAATGGGAGGTGCTTTTGCTCCCCAGTTGTGTTTCTGACTGGCTGTGACTGACGGGTGTGAGGTCTTGGCAACTTTGGATGGGGGAGTCCCTTCCAGGAGGGTCCGTGCCTGACGGCTTCTCGATGTTTTTCATCTCCATTTCCTCATGATGGATCCAAAGGTCAGGGGGGCGCAGATCCTTCTGGCTGCCCTTCCTCTTGCCAACACTATGGGTGGCCCGTTTCCTACAGGACAAAATTAGAAGGCCAACGTGAGTGCCTCTATTCCGTGGCGTTTCCTCTCTTTTCTCTGCCAATTCGAGGCAGAAGCAGGGAAAGGAAACAAAAGTGCTCCCAGGAGGAGACCTGTGAAATCCAGGACTTGGCAGGCTTCTCCTGGCTGCCCTTCCTCTTTTCCCCTGGGGTTTCACCCCATTCTAGGGGATGCGGAGCTGGGTCCCCAGGGCCTCGGCTGCCTGCCAGAGAGGGTCTTCTTCCCGCTTCCCTGGCTGCAAATTCAAGCCCAGGGTGACAATAGGCTTGCTGGACCCATATGCCAATCTTTGGAGCTAGGCATACGGCACCTGACTGCAACATCTGCTTAGGAGATAAATGAAGGAGGTGCCCCAGAAGGGCAAATAGAAATAAAAAGGCCAGAATTTGTGCCAACAGCCAGGAACCGGGCTTAGAAGGAAGTCTCTACCTCAGCAATATAACCAAATGGGTGAACAGGAAGCTTGCTATCTGAAGATAAAAGGCTGCATGAGGACACTCTTAGGAGAAGAAAACACTTTCCCCCTGGAATCACTAATGGTCTGGATTCAAACACAATAGACCCACCCTTTGAAGAGAGAAGGACGCACTTTGGAAGTGTGCTTCAAATGCCTCTTATTTGACTCAGTAAGAATTTAGCAATCATACATTTGTTTTTCAGTGGTAGGCTCTTTTTGGGCGTAGTGAGATTCAAACATTCCCTGCATGCCAGGTAGAACGATGCTCACACTAGCCATTCTCTACCCAGGAGTCAGTCAACTATGGCCTTCATGCCCAATCTGCTCACTGCCTGTTTTTATAAATAAAGTTTTATCGGAATCCTGCTTGAGCTCATTTGCTTTTGCACTGCAGTGTTGAAATAGCTGCAACAAAGACCATATGGCACACAAAACCTAAAATACTGACTATTTGGCTTTTTTCAGAAAGAGTTTTCAATCCCTGCTCTACTGTTTTATAATTTTTAAAATCTCCACTTGTGGCTTCGACTACTTTTAAAATAATAGTGTCTCTTCATACGGCAGAACTCAGTCAGCTGAAATCTAACCTTTGACACAAGCCCAGAGAAGTACCTGCCTCCTTCTCACTTCCCTCACTTGCATTGGTTTATGAGGATAACTGTTTTCATGGCTGCTAAATGGCTCGAACGAGCTCCTCTCAGTGAAAACTGTCACCTGTGCAAGGCCACGGAGCGTGGCTTTGTTTTCCCAACTGCTGAATAAGATGCTTTGCACATATTAGGCAATTCATAAATGTTTCATGGTGTGATTTATTCAGTTTTCCTTAACATTTTATTTTTTGTCTTTCTTGAAGCATGCTGACGAGGATAGAAAGCAAAGAACCCCAGATGCAATTTCTATCTAATAGTAGTTTAGTAGAAAAATAAAGCAGTGTTTTCTGCTCTAATATTTTCCCAGCGAGTACCTGTATTTTGCTGATTTCCTGGCAACAGCCTCACACTGACTCTAGACAATGGTTTACATAATAACCCCCAGATTATTTTCCTGTGTCTAAAATAAAAACTCTCTGCTAACCCTCCATTCCCTGCATTCATTTCCTTAATGCTTCACCTGCCCACAGGAAACTGCTCTGTGACTCACACGTAGCTCTTTATGTATTCTACCCCTGGTAACTTAAAAGAACTTAATGTCATTTTCAGACTTGGAGATTTCACAGTTACCTTTCTTTCTAACAAATCAAAACGCTAAATAACTTCAACTCCAATGCCTATATAATTGCATACAGAGAAGCACCAGGTCTGAAATCTTGGACAAGACAGTCAGACTTTTCACGATAACTTAATGTTGAAAAAGCCTGTGGTACAGACATGTGTCAAGGGATTTTTGAAAGTAGAAATAAGTCACGAATTCTGGCTTCCCTTTGCTTACATGCATGCCTTATTCATTCATTCATTTACCAGTTCCCATGACCTTAGGACCAAGCATCCCCAGGTGTATTCTATTAAAAAAAGGTTCCAAACCTCATCGAGTTAAGAGTTTTGTTCTAAGTTGATTTATAACCTCCACATGGGAAGATACTATCATTCCTGATAAAATGCATAAGCATTTTCCTGATGGATTTTGGTCACATCAAGTCCTCTCCTGAGAAGCTACTCATCCACCCAGCTGTCGGTCAAGACTCTAAGGATATTTAAACAGACTTGATTTCCTTCACGTATATATTCCGTGAAAGACCATCTAACTACCTTTGTTTTCTACAATGTCTCTTATCAAGAGAGAAATCTTTGGCCGTGGAGAGGCCTCCCTCCCCTCCCATGCAGCAGGTCTGTAATAAAGCGGACTTTTGCTCATAACTAAATTGTCTGAAATTCAGCTGAAAGCCCGTGGGAAGAGCTGCCACCCCAGGCTTCTGTCCATCTGCTGGTTCCTCGACATGAGCGCTGCCCACTGCAGCCCCCAGCTCACCTGTCTCACCACTGGAATCTTCGAAATTTCTAGGCAGACGAACCAAGCACAGGACCTGAGGTGTGGTCCTGGGAACTTGTTAGAAACTCCAATTCTCAGGTCCCACCTCAGAGCTTACGAATCAGAACCTTGGGGGCATGGGGGAGGGGCAGAAATCTGCATTTTAACAGCCCATGAGGGGAATCAGACACACCTGAAGTTTGAGAAGCACTGTCAATGAATCATGTGGTTTTGTTTCCTTGTTTTCATTTTAAAGCTAGCTTTCCTGTTAGATAGAGAATAGATCACAATTAACCCTCCCCCCCACACACCGTTTCTCATAGGTAATCTTTCAACTTTCGAAAATGGCTGTAGAATAGGAGGGTTTCTTCCCTCCCCATGTATTCTCAAAGGCAATGCTTTCCAAGACTCTCTGCTGTCTGCTTCTCATACTGTGGCGAACCTTTCACAGCATAATCATACACTAGTGTTTGTTCTATCTATCTATCATCTATCTATTTATCTATTTATCATCTACCTTCATCTACCTATCATCTATTTATCTATCTATCTATCTATCTATCTATCTATCTATCTATCTATCTATCTATCTATCTATCTATCTATCTATCTATCTATC